GGTATTACAGTTTTTGCCTGTTGCTTGAACACTATAGACCCATGCTTAGACTAAAGTAACACAACTTGAAGCTTTTGTTACCACACACTTGGTCCTGCATACTACACTCTATTTCATACATAAGACACTTTGTTCAAAAATGAAATCTCAGGGTGCCATTTGGAAAACACATGTATCCAAAATACAGAACACATAATTGCAACCACTCAAATACACACCTGAAGGCACTTACTTGCAAAACTGAACACCAATCAGCCAGCTACAAAAAGCCCTCAGTTTAGCCATTTCAAGAACTTTGCAAGCATGGATGGAGGGAGAGCGAGAGGAACAGTGTCAGGGTCAAAGGACTTCGACGTGAATAAGTAAGTGTAACTGTCCTTTACATTTACAATACAGTATTGGTGAAATCCAGTAGCAGCTGAATATGTACCATATCAGTACCACATGGATCCATTCGGAGAGCTACACAGGTACCTGTGTGATGGGGTGGGGGTTCTGTATGTGTAGCACTGTAATAATATGTTTTTGTTTTTTTTTTTGTTACAGAGAATCTTGGCCATGGATGGAGCTGCACAGCCTCATGAATTAATTTTCATTGATGAAGCTGGATTTGACCTGAGCAAAACAAGACGACGGGGTCGTAATGTAATTGGCCAAAGGGCAATTGTGCACGTCCCGGGGCAGCGCGGGGGAAATATCACATTGTGTGCCGCCATAAGTCTTCGAGGGCTTCTGCATCATCATGCAAAACTAGGTCCACACAATACCCAATATATACTCACATTTCTAGATGCTCTCCATAATATAGTTGTACAGAACAGACCAGATCAGCCCAGGTTTGTGGTGGTATGGGATAATGTCAGTTTCCATCGGGCTGCTCTGGTCCAGGCCTGGTTCACCAACCACAATCAATTTGAAGTGGTATACTTGCCCCCTTACTCACCATTTTTAAACCCTATAGAGGAATTCTTTTCGGCTTGGAGATGGCGTGTATATGACTGCCAACCACATGCCCGCATGCCTCTTCTGCAGGCAATGGAAGAGGCCTGTGGCGACATTCAGGTGACAGCAATCCATGGATGGTTTCGACATGCAAGGGGATATTTTCCCTGGTGCCTGGCGGGAGAAGACATTGCTTGCGATGTCGATGAGGTCCTGTGGCCAGACCCCAACAGACGGCGGGATCCATGAGCCCACGTATGCACAATTGCCATGATTTTCTGTGTTTACAGTATAGTGTTTTTTTCTATTTATTTTTATTTTTTTGCTTTATCTGAATTCATGTTACTGCAATGTACAGTGCTGCAATGTACAATACTGAGTAGGCCTATTTGCTTTTTTGGTTGTTTGAAAATGTGCCTCCTGAAAATGTGCCTTCTGAATAAACAGTGAAAATCAAAGACTGCAGTGTTTTATATAAAGTAGACTAGTGTGTTCCCCCTGATCTGAAAGTGTATGCATATGATGCAAGTGTGTGTCATTTTGTCATCAGAGTTACATTTTGACAAAGGATTGTTAGGTTTTGATAGTAGAGTTTAGGTTTTGATAGTAGAGTTTCAATTTCACACAGATGTGAATGGTATATTTCCCAGTGTTGTGTCATGTTTACTTGTGTGTAGAGTTTTGGCACAATGAGTGAAGTTTTGCAAAATGTGTTCAAGCAACGGGCAAAAACTGTAATTAATTGATTAATTAATAGTTGGACGCTGCTGGTAGAAATGATCAGTTGAAATTCAATGACGTGCTCCATGCATTTGATGATACAATGCGTCACTATCGCAGCAGTGTCGGTAGTAAATCTCCTGATTGTCAAAAACAATTTAGAGACTCAGCTTGACTCAGTCTGATTTTTTATGTGACAGAAAAGAAGAGAGATGAAACTGAATATGTGAAAATGAATTATAATTTATCTAGGTTTATTTAGTCAGATTATAGGCCAGTCAGGGAACGAGAGGCTGTAGCATTGTGGTGATAGAGGTGAGTGTGTGTGTGTAGAAATGACAGTGAATAGTCTGTAATATGGATGGTTGTTAGAGTTAGATATAGATATAGTTGATTAGATACACAAATTGTGATGAAGAGAAAATCTATTTATATGAGCAACATAAATGCTCAGGCTTGAAACTGACTGGTAAAACAAATCCATTCTGTAATGCATGGATGTGGCATTACAGTAGGTACTGTAAAAATTCATATATTCTAAAGAGATACTTTAAATTGAGTAAAATGCTTTATGGATATTTTACTGGACTTATCATGACCCCTCAGTGAAACTTGTCTGCTTGTTGTGAGTGTGTCCTTTATTACTTGTTCTACCTTTGGTATACGTGGGTGTGTTTCTTGTTTTACCTGCTCCCTCTCTCTCTGGCTGCACACATGTAAGACGTTAACAATCAAGCATGCTGGTCTGCCATCAAGCAATCACCTGCTCCCCTTTCAAACCATGCAACTGCATCCAGTCTCTGCTGGATCGCTGTGCCATACACGGTTGGTTTGTGTGCCACACTCCAGCGCAAGTCACAGTCAGAGTCACATATATTATCTAGTCATTTTGGCTTTTGCCTGCAACCTCTAAGGTTCACTCCTCTTTCTGTTTCCAGTTCACCTGTTCAAAATAAAAAACTTTACTTTATCTTTACATGCTTCTCCCGTGTCTGCATTTTGGTCCGCCCACTGATTTGTGACTAGACCAGTATTTTCTTTCACTGAAAAGATAAAGCTGAAGATATAAGAAGACTACAAACAACAATGGTCTGAGAAGTCTCGAGAGTTTCCATAATACCGCTTCTCTTCATTCTTGACCCTTTTTGTCAAGGGTCAAGAATGAAATTACAGGGATGGTGACAGGGTGTTTTCAATGTTTGACGCAAATCTTTTAAGTCAACATTTTATAATTAGAAAGTCAGACATGAATCTGATCAGTAAATAAATTATTTCATCGTAATTCAAACAATGGATTATTTAATTTATAAAATGCCAAAAAACTAAATTTATATCTCTTACATGACTTTGCAGACTACAAGGAACCAAACTATCATTATTGGGAGATGCAATCACTGAAAACTTTGCCAGTGTTTTACCACAAAATAATCCCATCTGTGAGGCTGATCCACGGCTTAATGTTTGGGCAAGAACGTCCAGGAGGTTCTTTTTCTTTAGATCTGTCACAAGACTCTTTTTATAGAGCAGATTTAAATGTGCCAGTAAAACCAGCAACGGCCAAGTTTAAAACAGAAGCATCACTTGGTTTTCTGTGAATGACTCTATAAATTATTTTGCTATAACTATGATTTTTCTGCCTGTGTCTATGAACCTGCCAGTCTACATCTGCCAGCCTGTCTTTGTGCTGATCTCTCTGGGTGAATGACTGATTTGATTATTTGTTTTTGTGATGTACAAAAGGATACAGAGGTTGAATTGAGTCTGAGGAAAGAAATTGATGATGTTAGGCTGCCATCTAATGGCTGAAACAAATACATTTCATAAATGAGCTGCTTCAGCATTTCAGTGTGAATTTTCTGTACGTTTGTACATTTGCCAATTGCCTGCCAAGTGTGTGTGTGTCTGTGCATGTGCGTGTGCGTGTGTGTGTGCGTTTGTGTGTGTGTCAGCCACATATGAGATGCCAGATGCAACAAGCCTCTCAGGCCCTTTCTGGCTCTCCCTTTGTTCCTGTCTGCATGGAGGGTGAAACATGTTTGGACTTGTTTGCTCTCAGTCTCCAGGCATTTCTTTTTAAACAAAGCAAAGTGAAACACTGTGAGAAACTGCTGTGCTGTATTGGAAAGGTCAGGACTGGTAGTCAAGGTGTTAATATACAGCTTAAGAGCCAGGAACACTGGACAAATCATACAGGTTTAAAGTCATGAATTATAGTAATACAAAATGATCATTTTGACAGTACAGTGGCCTGTAGAAATACTGCTTGCCATATATTAGTTTGTGGTTCTGTGGGACATAAACCAGTGGATATACTGTTAATTTACTTCTAATTTTTCCATTTTACACTGATTGAATTAAAACACTGTCCACAAACACAGAGGTGATACTATGAAATAAAGGCCTGCATGTTTCTTTAATCTTAGACAGTATGTAAATTAACTTGAATAAGTCTGCTCTAGAAAGCTACAATAAAATTAAACTTCACTTATTTGTAGGATAATGAACTTTGAGATGTGTTTCTTCACTAGGCTTTTAGCTATGCTCCATCAGCTTCTGAGTAAAACATCTTTACCTAAAGCTTTTTATAGTTTTTTTACTGCTCCTTTACTTACCAGTAAACAAAATTATTACATATTATCTCTTTGCTGTTTCATACCAGGCAGCCAGTGTGCACTTGACTTGTCTGAGCTTGCCTGCTAAATTAGATACCTATTGTATATGAAGGTAGTAACTCAAACATACAGATTCCAGGAGTCTCCAAGAGACGCTGGGTTATTTTTGCCCAGATTTTATTACATACAGAATGTCTTTCCAATCTCTGATGGAAAAAAAATTTAACAGCAATCTGTCTTCCGAGAACCAATGTCCAAATTTATTTGGATAATCCACAGACCTCAGCATGAACAGTATTTTTTTTTATTTTTTTTATGGTTGTTATGAGACTCATCCAGCAGCTCTCTACAGTCTTACCATGATGGCTGACTGTCAACGTAGCCAACAATACAGCTGCTGCAGTTCACAAGAACTTGAAGTTTGAGTCTCCAGGGGAATGACATTTCCTGACAATGACAAGACTAATTTACTTCAACAGATTAGCAAGTAGATTTTACCTTTTTTATGTAAATTCTAATTAAGGCTGGACTAACAAAGGGTTAATACAATTGTAAAATTGCATAATCCATTAAAATCCAATAATTAAACCAAATACAAACCAAATTTCCTTTCCTTCATTTTCTTGTGTGAAGACATTGAAACTGCTGGGAAAAATGAATCAAAGCAAATGTAAAATACTGTAATCCGAATGATGACAGCAGACTCTTTTACATGTCTTCATAACATGAGTTTTGAATCCTTTTATTGTCACTTGATTTGTGAGGAAGTGGTTTGTCCCAAATATGCATAGACAGGTAAATAACCAGTAATAAGTATGACATGGTAATCAAGCATTTACTAGGTAACTATGCAATACCTACCTGTGCGAAAATTGTCCAAAAAACAGTATGTCATATATAAACTGTAACTACAAGTGTAACATTACGTAATGCTATTATGCAAATTGGCAAGAAGAAAGCAATTTGTTGTGTCTTTGTTTTAATCATTTTAAGTGGTAGAAAAATAACTAAATATGTTGCTTATAAGATCAGGTACAGTTGTGAAGCATCTAAATGATCATTGTTGATGGAAATGATCATCAGCATTTCCTCGTTAGCTAGCAGTTAATATCTAAACCAAAAGTAAGGATCTGCAATTGCTGGCCTATTCTGACATGAATGATATGGGCGGTCCTCTTCCTAACTCTCCCGTCTTTCCTCTGGCTGATGGTCAATCCAGATACGGCAGAGAGAAGTTCTCACCCTCCAGCTCTTTGGAAATGACCGATGTGAATTGGGCCAGTTGTTCTGAGGTAAAATGGTTTTTCCAGTCTCCAGCAACCCCTGACACAAAAACACACACACCAAGACAAGTCAATAAAAAAAAAAACATATCTACTGTTTAGTACAAAAGTCAAACATTTATATGGAGACTGAAAATCAACTTACAGGTCTGATTAAGTCTCACTCCTTATAACCGGATTTCAAGATGTCAACCTTAACCAGGTTAAAGTTAAATCCAGTCAACCAGTTAAATGCAATTTAAAGCAAATTACGAAGGAACATTTGTAGATGCTGGTCTCATTGATCAGCGTACAAATTTAGCTCAGAAAATGATCAGGGAAATTACTCAACTATATGGTCAAATAGCCAATAACACTACAAACATGGGCAAGAGTAAAAGTGGAAAATTAAATATTGTTATTAAAGCTAAATTAATTGCAAATATTTAATCAAAAGGCTGCCATGGCTCAAGCAGGTTATAAGTCAAATGCATGATGGACACATGGAGCCTCACCTTTCCTGAAGAATGGGGATTTGTCAGCGTCCATGTACACCTTTGGGACCAGGCTGAAGTTGGACATGTTGTTGGCCTTCATGGTCTTGAAGGAGCAATGCTCTGCTATCTTCTGAATGGTTTCTTCACTCAAGTTTCTGTCCAGGAAATCTGAAATACGCCTGATAGCTGCAGGCAGGTCCTAGAAGAAGAGCACATGGACTGGGCTCTGGTAACATGTTTTCTAGCTGTTAGTTGAAAATAAAACAACAAGCGCCCACACACTGAGACAACGACTGAAAACAATATTAGCACACTTTCAGGAGGGGCAAACCAGGCAAATAATTCCCCCAAGGGGAAAGCGGCCCCGATGGCCCTTCATATTAGCACAGTTTGCAACGACAGATATAAACCTCCTATACAATGAACTGCTGCTCCCCCAAAACCGCCCTAAGTGGGGCCCATGATGATGTGTGCTGTCCCTACTGTCTACCAATAGACTGCATGTGAGGCATTTAGGGAACATATGTAAATTGTTGCATCTGCCAATAGTCTGTAGTCTGCGTGGGTGTGGGGGGTTTCTTTGATGGACTTCGATTGGCTTCCTTGCCTGGGGCTCCCCAGATTGTAGGATCGCCGATGACTGGCATGGGGAAATAACAAATGTAAAATCGTGTCTGTTTCTTGGAGCAGACACCCTGTTGACTTCTGTTCTAATAAAAAGAAAAATGGTCAACAAGACATTTAGTGTTCAGAGTCAACCAGCAACTCTGGCCTAAAAACATAAACATTGCCATTTAAAAACTCAACATTTGTTTATGAGTGTGCTGGGAGTGTTCCTACCTGAACCATTTCTTCATATGTGATGTAAATTATTCTGTCTCCCAGCTCTTTGTGTCTCCAGCTCTTCACATGGTCTGTCCATTTTCCAAACAGCACTGCAGACAACACAGACATTAGAGTGCAGCATAAATGCAATCAAACACTGCTCTACATTGGTTAAATGACAAATAATGACTTCTGTCTGTCACATGCTATCAGAAGTAATTTTCAACATCCAAAATCTGCTCACATGCTAACACACAAACATTGCTGAACTCCACTTCCCTGAAATTCAAACATTTCTCTGTGTAAACTCTTTATCATGTGACCTCTGACCTCTGCCTTCCAGGAATTTCTCCATGAACTCATCAAAAGTTCCTGGATCCTCGAGGAATCCGGCCATCTGGTGGAAGTAGTACGAAGACACCATGATGTCCATGGGATTCCTCATGACATAGATCACCTATGGCAGAGACAACAGATGACATAATGAGCGTAATGTGTACAAGATACTTATATGAGATCAGATTAAGAGAAGAACACATGGGAATATCACACAAAAACTCCACCCATTTACCTTGGCTTTGGAGGTGTGGAAGGACGGGGGCATGAGGTGGTGAGGAAAATGTGTGACCATCGCCCGTGGAGATGCCAGCTGATCCACGACAAATGCCAATCTTTTCTCCTCCAGCCAGGGCACCCTGTCCCAGTTAGGAATGGTTTGGATCGGCGTCAGATCCCCACCATTCAGCACCAGCGGGAGGATCTCCTGCATCCAGATTGTACCTGCAAAAAATGTATTATAAAACATTATATTGTCTAAATGGGGGATTTTCAAATCTGACATTGTGGGCAACAAAACTGGGACAACTGCCCTTCATCACCCCCTAACCCTAACCCACTTGCCCCCATTTTTTGTTTACATTGTGACAAATTGCCATCATTAAAATATGCTGAATTAGATATTAGCAGTTCTTATTTTCAGTGTACGCATGAATGTAGACACAACTATCACTGGATTACTTTGATTGTGGAGACAACTTTAAAACATTAAGATTCTCAGACCACTTCTGGAGTTATAAGTAGCGTCTTTTTTCAATTTTATTGAGATCATGCTAAGGCCTATTATTCTCAACCTTGTATTGGATTCATAAGTAATATCTCAAAAGATAATATGAGGACACAAGTGGCTCCAGACTCACTCAAGTCTGATGCCCTCATAACCATCTAGAGAACTAAAACTGCAGCATAGACTATTTCTATAACACAATGAGGCTACATAGTAGTTTTCAACCCATTGTATTATGTGTGTATTGGAGCCTCTGTTCTCATGACCCTGAACAGACACAAGGAATGTAAATAAATGAATGAATACACAAAAGATCACATTCCACGTCAAACAGACATTACATTCATGAGTCTCACACAGCGTGTGCTGACGCTAAACTACTGAAATGATTCCAACGGAAACAGCTATCATTCTGCAGCTGTTCAGTTTTTCTGTTTTCTCTCCCCAACATGATCTAAAGAAGAATGTTCTGTGCAAACACACACAGCCAAACAACAGTCCAAAGTCAGTGTGATTTCATAATATATCCTTAAGCCATTTGAAAAATTGCCATTTGGAAATAAATCAAAGTTGGTTGCCAATGACTTTCACAAGCAGATAAGACTCATGCCTGTAGCTAAGAGAAATCACATCAGAGCTTTTCATTTAATGTAGTAGTGTAGTGACTGCTTTAGTTCTCTCACTGCTGCTCACACAAGGAGGAAATGATTGAGTGAAGGGTCTGAACTGTTGCATAGAATTCATTTCTGTTGTGCTGACACAGCTAACACACTGTATATGATTTACAGTTTCTCATATTAAGTTTCCAATGCCATATTTCCTTTTGATTAAGAATTATCTGGTATTCATTTTTTAGCTTTCACATTCTGCCCATTAGCTGAACCATATATGGACTCTGTACTCACCATCTCTGTACTGTGAGGAAAAATATGATAAGGTGGTGTTTTATCATGTGCTGTCTGTTAGTAGACTTTGATATAAAAACATCTGGTGGGGAATGTTTCCTTATATGTAAGTCCCAAGGAAGTTTTGGCAGGGACTTTCAGTCAAACCATCAGTTTTCTGAAGAGAAGGGTCTATTGGGCCATATTTTGTGTATTGTTCCTGTATCTGCCAATTTCAAACTGACAAGGAACCGCATGACCACTAATGCAGCTCCAATATTCATGAAAACAATGATCCTAACACACATCATGTGCTGTCTGACAAGTTGGGTATATGTCAACAAAACCACACTAAAGCAAATAGAATTCTTGTACAATCAAACTAGCAATCTAGACAAGAAACCACAAGGATATCATCATTGTAATATTAAAAAAAAACACAATTTACTATGGTGGGAAAACATGGTTAAATACAGTAGACTGTGTCTTGTTTTCAAGGTATTACAAAATATGGCTCCTTCACCACTTTGTACATACATCACACTAAAAACAAGCCAAACTACTAAAGCAACAACTAGAGGAGATTGTCTTACTCATAGAAGACAAAGTAGTTTGGGCCAATCTGCTTTTTCTGTCAAAGCCTCTCAGGATTGGAACAAACTACCACAACATAACAAACTGTCTCTAATTACCACTCAATTTCCACAACATTAAAAACCTGGTTTATTAGAAATCAAGAACTTATGAACACTAGAACAGTGAGGGGTTTTCATGTTTTGCTATTTGTTGGTTTGTTGATTGTTGTTGTCATGCTGCATGCTCTTTGCTGTTTGTTGTCATGGTAGTGTTGATTTTGTCTCTCTTATAAGCTTGCATTTTTGTCTTAATGAAGTGCATGCTTTTTATATAGTTCCACTTCCATTGTTGTTGACTGCATCTTCTATGTATTCTTAATGTTTGTGCCTTTTTAACTCTTGCTTGCCCAGGGACTACAGATGGAAATTAGCCTCTCTGGCATATTTTCAGAAATGTTATGAATATGAATAGTCCCTGTCAAAAAAAAGAGGGCGGTGTTGACTGTATAAAAGAGAGACGATTTCTGTATTGTGGTAGGATGTCAGGATAGGATCTATTCAATTTGTATTTCTGGCCACCTGATGAATTTACAAACTTAGTAAACATCATTGAAAATGAGGTATGAAGCCAAAGAAACACCTCCATTTCTACTGCATGTTAGGCATGCACGCGCACACACACACACACACACACACACACACACACACACACACACACACACACACACACACACAGCTGTCATGCTCTTCTTTTCACATCAGACATTTTGACTTGTCTTTGTAGGAAAAGCACAGGTGTTACTAAAAACATTTACGAAGGCGCCGTTCTATTGAAGCATCCCACTAAGCCACAACAGTGTGACAGTGAGCCAGCATGCACAATACCAGGACCCTGAAACTAAAGAAGGTACAGGAAATCCAACCCTCATTAATTTCATTATTTACACCTATTTATTTACTTACTTACTAAGTGCTGCGAGAAACTGGCCCTGGGAGAAACAGCAAAAACACAAACCTCCTTGTGAAAAATTAAAGAATTGTGATATGAACATAAGCCACAGTGTCAAAGACTGATATCACAGAACCAAAACATAGTGGACAGCTTTGCACAGAGCTCAGTGCTCGTACTCAGGCAGCATGATGCTGCTGAAGCACTTTTTGCACCTGCCTACTCCCACTTTGACCTGGCTTCATGATGAATTTACATGAATTTACAAAAGGTGAAAAAAATAAACTACTAAAACTGGTAACACCTGCTTCATCAAGGTGAGTAAGACATTTACTAATACACTGTACCTGACTTGGGGAAAGTGACGACAAACACATCGGTATCTTCTACAGACAAACTCTGGGCAAACTCCAAGCTCTCCGCGGAGTGACACTCAGAGGGAAGAAGAATGCCGCCATACTGGATATACTTGTCTGTGGACATGACTGTTCTCAGTCCAGGGTCTTCAAGCAGATTCAGCAAGGGACTCGGTTGGGTAGCCCACACTTTGCTCCTCTCTGTCAGGACAGTGTCTCCTCTTACATCTAGTCTGTTCCCCTGAGCTCTTGTTTATTAAGGGTTCAGGTTGATGAGGTGGTTTCCGTTTTTCCACAAATATTTATTAATGGTCTGAACGGCAGGTCATAAGACAATCATGCTAACTCAGGGCCTGGGCCCTTCAGGGGACTTGAATAACAGGGTTAAAGATTTACACAGGCCCATGCAATTTGGGAGCATCAGTTTTGTTTGTAAAACTCACTCTAACCAATGACACCTCTGAGACCTCTAAAATGAACCCTACAGACTCCATAGGTGTTTTTCACAGAAGACATTTTAATATGTCACGTAGTAAAAGCACAGGCGTAAATGTCGGTGATGGTTAAATTGCATTTAGCTGTTTCAGTTTCAGTGTGCATGCTGGCTCACTGTCACGCTGCCATGATTTACTGGGTCACTGAATAGAACAGAACCATCATTAATGTTATTAGTTAACACCTGTATGTCTGCTGACTTAAGGACAATACCCAGTGACAGAGAAACAAACTGTTCTCGAGCAGCATCATGACAGCTCCAAAGGTTAAACAAGGAAGTTAAGATAGGAGTAGTAGGTTTGTCAGCTGCCCACACAAGCCTGTCTTCCTTTCAGGGTGATTTGTGCCGTAAGACTGAGAAGAGGCGAGGATCATCATTTATGTCAAAATGCTGCAGACAGTACCAGTTTGTATATTTGCCAGTGTGGATTCAGACTCCCTTGGTTTATGTTAGAGAAGGATTTAAATGGTGTTCTTCTTTAAATTAAGTTTGTCTCATTTGTCTCATAAGCAAACCAGCTCACACAAGTGCCCATGAGCCAAAAAGTATTTCTTATTCGTGAAGATTTTGTGGTATGTGCTGGTATTCAGAGGTAAGGCCTATAAGCACTGTTGCCGTTGGGGGTTTCTACATGAAATCTACTGAATGTGCTGCACACTGTGGCGCGGAAGCTCTGCAGCCATAGGCCTGAGAAAGCTCCCTGCCTCCTCTCTCTTCTTTTAAAACTAATGCTTTAATTCAGGGACTAGAATCTGCGATGGGTGGCGCTCGACTCCAAAGACCACCACAGCGAACTGTGTGTCAAACAAATGTAAAACGTGATATAAAATGTTAAAGTCTGTGGCATTTTAGTCGTGTTTGTTAATGACAGGAAAGTTGTAGACAGAGAAACACACCCTGTCAACTCTGCAGCCAGCAGACTGACCGGATGCGTAAGGACATAAAACATGTCACATTAGTCGACTAAGTTTTAACATTAAAAGTAAACTATAGTCTTACATCTGTCTAGAAACACTGACCTGCCTTCGGGTACGTGACAGCCACGACGTCATTGTCTTGAAACGTAAACTCCTGCGCAAACTTCAGGCTCTCAGAGCAGTGAGTCTCTTTGGGAAGCATTAAGCCATGATAAAATATATACATCTCTTCAGAAGACATTATGCAGCGAGGGATAAAGTCAAGTTGAAGTCTGCTCTGCCTTCAGACGGTGTCGCACTTTCGTTATAGTTGTCAACTCTGTGGGAAGGGTTTGGTTCAGGTCTACAGACAAACGCATATCAACGTGAAACAGATCTGACCAACCATTCTTCGTGTCATGCAGGAAATAATATCAAGCAAGTCGAGAAATGTAGAGCTGGGACAAATGGACCAAGTGTTTCCAACTGGTACTTTTATGCACGAATCGCCGTATGTCCACACGGATAGTCTTCCGACTTCTCTTGCCTTTTCAGCTTTTATAGGCTATGTTACCAAACTAACTGCCAGCCATATAAACGACAGCTTCACAACCCTGAACAGTGTTTGAAAACTCACTAACTCACTTGAGTTCAGTGCGATAAAGTTGAGCTTGCTGAAAGCAGTAACTACAGGTAGTGACTGAGTGCAGAGACGTGCAGAGGATGTTAGAGGGGCAGGGGCCAGAATTCATAAAATGCACTTTTTCAGCTTAATCAACATGCATCAGAATGCTGAATTGACTTAGTAAACAATTATTAATAAATTAATTGTATAATAATATTAATACTATTACTACTGCTAATAATATATTATAATTATTATTATAATTGTTATTATTGTTATTATTATTATTAGTAGTAGTATTAGCACTATTATTATTATACAATTAATTTATTATTAATAATAATTATTGTTATTGTTATTATTATTTATTGTTTTATTTGTCTACTGCTATTGTCCACCATCTCATGCTACCAGCAAGTGGGCCTAAGCATTCATTGCGCTGTGTACATGTAGTTTACATGCCAGATAAAACTACTGCTACTGATAGCCTACTACTACTGTAATATCATATATCTTATATGTAATTAGCACATTTCAAGATGCTAAATAGTTCAAGCATAGATAGGCTGACCATACCATGCCAAATAGTGTCAAATTCCCTAAGTGCATACAAAATGAAAATCAAGTGTATTTATATTTTGTTTGGTCACATACCTGATGTCAACCTCAAAGTAACTCACCACACTGACTGACTTACACTGAGTGTATACATTTTGTCTACAGAGTCCTTGCAGCGGAAATATGTATATATATATATCATGAAATGCTCTTAATGAATTCTGTTTTATTTCCCCTTTCCATATTGTGAAATATAAATGTTTATCATTTTAATTTTACAATGACTGGCAGCTTCTTTGTTACAGCGCCTAACTTATTGTATATGAATTATTCCTTAGCATCTTATAGTGTTTAATTAGTATCAAAACGGAAAGCCAATCTGTAGGTTGCAGACTGATGTCTGCCTTACATGACAATTGTAGTCCATCACTATCAACCCACAATGGGGATGGTTGTCACAAGTGCACAAGATGTATTTGACAGTACACATCTATTGAACAGAATAAGCTGAAGGAGAGTAAGGGCACTCTATTTCTACATGACACTGTCTGTAGGCTTCCATTGCAGACTGAAAGGGACTCTATTAAGGATACGGTTTTTGAGGATTTCAAATAAAAGCAAAAAGGTGTGACTACCATCCCCGTTCTCCCCTACTCCCTCCTGATCTGTACCGATAACTACAGTATGCTATAGGTTAATCTTTGCTAGGTAACTAAACCAAAAACAAATCAACAGTGGTGGTTAACTTTACTATGACACCTATTTCAGTTGCATTAAATACACAGCATATTGTTTAGGCAGAGCTAACTACAGACAACATAACCCATACACCAAGTTAAGCAGTTTTACCCCTAGTCTGTCCTTATCTAGTGTTATTCATTTTCAACAGCATCATGTTGCTAGCTAGGGGAGTTCTGGCTCCCTCTGTGCTGACAGACACACTTGTTTCCACAGTTTAATTGGCTCAGGGCAGGTAGGCAATGACAACTTCTAAAGAGAGACAAATAAGACACATAAACAGCCACTGCCGTCTACTACATGTTATTTTAAGTTTTATGTGTTAATATAGACGCAGTGAGAACAGCTTTGTCTAATTTCACCCATTTAGGCTTTGTGAAGCATTTTTATTGTTCTATTAACAAACTAGAATGAAAAGATAAAAAAACTATCATAACAATACCAAAAGTGGTGAATAATACTATAAAGTATGCTGCATGCATGTGTAAAAAGGTGCACAAATATACACTGTATTCACAAAAGTTGGTAAAAATTACTGCTCACCCTGGAGACAACTGGAGCCCGCTAAAAACAGACAGCAGATATAAAAATGAATATATTGTACCTGATTTGGGGTATGTCACAGCAAACACATCTGTGTCTTCCACAGAGAAATTTTGGGCATATTCCAAACTCTCCATGCTGTGAGCCTCAGGGGGCAAGAGAAGGCCATGGTAGCGAAGGTATTCAGGAGAAGACATGATTTGTGTTCCTGGCTCAGCGTCTGAAGCTCTGCAGTGGGAGTGGTAGCCTCCACGTTGCTTCTATCTTGCTCCTTCTCCTGTTACATATAACCCCTTTTCCCTGAGCTCCTCTTGATTTGCCTCTCTAGCTGAAAGGGCTGAACCACCACTGACTGCTTCCCTATACAATTCTCTGAATGGCAAGTCTTTAATGCAACTCATAAGCAGTTTTCTAACTCAGGGGTTGGAACCACAGGACGGTCTGTAAAAAGAGTTTGCTTACGGAAGCCCACTTTTTTACTGAGAATGGACTGCTTTGGTTTTACATATAAATAGTAAAAAGATTATTGTAATGTCATGAACTACCAGTAGGTAACAGAGTGGGATGCTGGATAGGACAGGATGTTGAACATCTTTGGGACCATCAGGAATCCCCTCTGTGCTTGTGAGTATCCACAATGTGACTGAAGAGGTGCTAAGAACCTTATCTGTGTCTGTATCTTGACAAAAAAAAATTGCAGTGATTCCATGTTAAAGCATTCCTGGACTGGATATAGAGACGTCCTAATGTCCATCGAACCCAGATCATTCTGACTCCCACTATTAATCTTATTGAGTGTGAATTAACCTGTGTGGACCAGGCTAGGCTCTGATCCTAGAGTCACACTACTACTCCTACACTAATTATTCAACTATTCTCTCTGGAATTCACCAGGTCAAGCTAATGTCAATGACTCAAGCAAGCATGTTTTTTTCAGCCAGCACACACAAACAATAATGTATGGACAGAGAAAGTGGTATGTATGTGTGTGTGTGTTAGGTAACAGTAAAGCCCATTGTGGCATTTTAATAATGAGAGCCTTGTTGGAGCCCAGAGGCCCCAGCTGAGAGAGGGATAAAGAAAGAGGCAGAGAAAATCCAGGCAGGGTGAGTTCAACTAACTGAAAGGGGGTAGGCAGATAAATTGTGTGTGAAAAGATGGTAGAGTAAATCAGCAGAGGAGACACACAGATTTACTTGAACTATGTCAATTTTTTTTAGGACCTTTCCCTTTGTGCTCTCTTTTTTTATTATTATTATTTATTTATTTTTATAGTGTCTGAGAAAAAAGATGATCGTGTGAGATAAAAGCAGAGTACCAAGAGCATCATTTCTGTCTGGTTCCTTTGTGGCCCTTTGTCCCCATTTGATAGAAGGAAAAATGTTTTTTGTGTTTGTTTGAATGGAACGTCTTCACTGACTAATGTGATAGTAGGCATAAATAAACCCTCATTAAGACGAACTAAAGCTCATTAAACACTGGGCCTAGCTTTGTGATTGCAGCATGACTTTTTTTAATAAATAACACTGCTGAAATGAGGCACTACCTTTAAAAACGTGGTCCTGTGTTCGGTGCAAAACCTCTGGGCTTTAACTAGTTTTATTCACGACACGACTTGGATTTGAATTACATTGTCTCAGAAATAAAGATTTCTGCAGCAGTCCAGGCGGTTGAGAATTGAATTTCTCCTAATCTAATAATTGCAGTCACTTTCTTGTAGACTTTTTGTGGAATGAGAAGCAAACCAAAAAAGACGTGACCATGTTTATTTGAAGTTTGTTGCCTTCATGCAAGTGGCAAATATTTATTGCAGCAATTGCACATTTAATCTCATTCTCATCCTTATTCTTAACATCCGTCACCATCATAAGGAAATGACTTGAAATGACTGAGATGACTTGGCCGTAGGACTAACTTAAGGTGAGGTAAGGTGAAGTTCAAGTAAAGACACTCCCTCCACTTCTTACTCTGTTCACTTTTTTAAAATGTAATCCTTCATCTCCTGCCTCCACTCACAATCTTTTCACTGTTGTTGAGCACAAAAGGTGTTTTCGAAATCAAATTCTTTAACCTCTTTTACGTTCCTTTGACGTTTTCATTCCCTTGCTCCCATGAGATATATTCAGGTTGTTCTCTCTCTCTCTCTCTCTCTCAATCCCCCTGCTCAGGACTTAATCTGTCCCTTGTCAAGTGTAACAGTAGAAGTGTGGGAGCAGTTAATACCTTTTGCCATTCATCTGTAAATGGCAGAAACAAACTCACCTTCTGCAGTGAGCCACACTTTATGTTCGACATATTGGAGATACTCTTTGGCTAACAGGTGGTAGTATTGGTTTTAGATTTCAGCATGTTGAGGTGACAAAATCTTGAATGGTCATCAATGAAAAGTTATTCAAAAGGCATCCAGAAACAGGCGTTTCCTCCCCTCAACTGACATGAGATGCTCTGAAGTCAGTTAATATCTTGAACTTCAGTTGTCAAGATAAATACCGCCGGTCAGATCACACCATTGCTGAAAAATACAACGCTTGCTCTGACAATCTGTCTCTGGATTAAGTTTGTGATGTCAAAGGAAACAATATAAAGTCACGTCTTTTCTTAAATATGGCAGATCTTTCCCAACAAGCACTTAAGTCTTTACAGTCTGACCAATCAAGACACTGACGGTGAGGTAAGACAAAAGATATTTATGTCAAAATCCCAGATGTTTACAATTCAACACAATGTCATAATGCTGAGTGAACCTCAGTTTATTCATACTGCTGATGAGTTTTTAAGTTAAACCTTAAATCTTTTTGAAAATTGCTTCAATAATTAGAAAACTTTTGCTAAAGTTTTGTTTTAACTACTTGTATATTTATTTGTATATAAATAAATTGATAAATTTGGGGCCACATAATGAACTATCAAAGAACTATCACTGTCATTCATCTGATATAAATGCACTCAGTATATTTCACTATCTAACCTAAGCATTTACGATGGCTCATTGGACAACACATAGAAAAGAAATGTTATTTATAAAGTCTCATTTCATTTGTGGTCATTCAGATACAAAATTCACCTTTTCACAAAACCAACAGAGCTTAGGGAAGCCAATCATATTACAGAAGCATCCTGATGTCACCATTCATCCTGCACTTTTAACTGATGGACATCAATGGACCATACAGGCTCATCAAAACAAACTGGAAGAAGAGGTTAGCTCACCAGTTGGCGGCTTGTGCATCAGCCTTTTTTTGTACATCACACCAGACCAGCTACTCAATATCTACAAGCATTTTCCCAGCAGTCTTTAGTGTTGTTTGGTAATACTAAGACTGATATGGTGTCAGGGGTCAGCTTCTGATTTAGGACAACCCAGGTACACTGTGGACCAAAAAGACTGCTGAAGGCTTAACCCAGGGTGCTGAGGTTTACTTAGTTGCTGTGGACCAGGGTGACGAAGAGAAACAGAGAGCAGAGAGAGATGGCACCAGTCAGCACGGCTTTGACCAGCAACACTGTCCAACTGCCCAAGAGGAAGACGTGGACAAACAACCTGAAGGCACAGACAGAAGCATAATGTAAGCTACAGTGTTAAAGACCAAAACAATGCATTGGCATTGCTGCAACCATATATGACAGCAACAGATAAGTATTCAGATAAGAGCTGATTCAACAGAGTTCAGATAACTGGTCATCCATTTACAGTGTTGTACAAGGTCACACTTCACAAGAGCTTACTCAAAGTACAGTTCGCAAAGGTTAAAATGAATTAGTTCACTTCATAGTTCAACAATTTTGAATTTGAACAAAGTTCACAGTCCAAAAAGAATGAACTATTTCACACATTTACTACATGTTCAATTCTTTATTTTCTAAACAAAAAAATCGTTTTCAGTAGAACCTCTACCTTCAGAAGAATCACTGCCTCTCCTCAAACTACATGAATTACTGTATAATACTACAGAGTCACAGACAGAGATTACTTTTAAAAGACAAGAAAAACAATGTGAGTATGTTTTATGTGTATATGCTGTGAGTATGACTCAGGTGGAGGAACTTTGTGGCTGTTGCTTCATGGTCTTACCCTTTCTTAATGATTTCTGGGGATCATCATTCACTCGCAGATATTTCAAAAGACTGGTCGAATGCTACAACTCGATATGTCATTTCAAATTCATTACAGATGTGGCTGTTTATTCAGTCCCAGCTGTGAGATTTTTCCCATTGGAATCTGCACTAAGTTGTTCAAAAAATTCCTTCAAATATTCGTACGAAGTGACTTCAGCAGCACCAGTAGCTGTGATGTTTGTATTGCCAACACTAGTCACCTGACATATGCCGGGTGCTGTAAAGCCGCAGTGCAGCTGTAAAACCAAAACACAGTTCAGTACACAGTAATTCTTCTGTTGTTTTTTTGGCAGTTGGCAAACAGCTTTTTGATTCACTACTGCCAGCTTCTAGTGTGTGAGTGTTGTTAACTCTTGCCAGAATGAACAACACTCACATTCATATTCATTAGTTGCAAACTGACACGTTCGTTCTGCCCATATACAACAAAACTTTGATTATCAGAGATTTTAGAATTTCTATATTTTCCATTTGTTCATGCATTTGTGAGTCTATAGATTTTAAATAAATTCATCCAGACAAATAATCCACACAAGTAAGCAGGCATGTATCTGATGGTGGTATTTTGTTTGCAAGCTGTGGTCAACTCCAGCCACCAACACTGAAAGCACAATGAATCCTTTTAGAAAATGGTAATTCAATGAAATGATCTGCTAGCCCTCTTGTTGGTCTATCATTCCTTATGCAAAACACCAACACCTTAAAAGATTTTCTTGTGAGCACATATCAGTGCTAATAATACATTTTAAATCAAGCAAAACACATGAAGGAGCTTGGTAAAGACAATTTAAGTACATCAGGTTTTGCAAGTTACAATATATGTAGTTATTTTTTAATGCATTTCCCTTACTTCCATTTATGTATTTTTTGATGTACAGTTCTTAAATCATTTCAAGTTATTATTATTGCTTGTGTTGTTGTTGTTAACTAGTGCCATCCTGTGGTTTACAAGTGAAGCACAGCCACTAGGACGGTGGTCAACCCTGGCTGAATTAAATTTTCCAACTGAATACACACTATTATTCTGCCTTTCTGAGTACTGCATGTAGTAGGTCTGCAGGTGTGTATATGGCCGTGTTTAGTATATAGGTGTGTGTAAAAGTGTGTAAGACTCACTCCATCAAGAAGGCCTTGTAGACACAAAGAGCCAGAAGCACCGTAACAGGCAGCCTGAAGCTCTTGGGAAGGTCATATCGTGTAAACATCCACACCACTGCTGCCATGGCAATATAATGGACCTATAAATGCAGGCATAATAATCACTAGTCACAGATCATTTTTTTTAACATACTCTGGTGCTATATATGATATTACAGACCTATGGATAGATAAAGAGGAAGCACATTGAGAAGGAAATGTTTTGAAATCCATTTTTTTTTTATCTAAAGACAAGACAATTACTGTGATCTTTTCTGTAGACCACTGCTGTCAATGAGGTGAGTGAATGTGAAAAAAAACTGCAGAGGACAGAGGTGAGTGGCAGACATAAAAGGAAAACACACTGAATGAAAGTCGAAGACAGAGGATTGGAAACACAGGAGCAGACAGAGTGGAGAAATGAGAGAGCAGAAAGAGAACAGCTACTTACCAAACTGATGTTAGAGTCAAAGCTCATCTGGATGTATTTCCAGTCAAACTCAATCCCTCTGGCTCCCACCCACAGAGGAAGACACCTGAAGAACCACAAACAGTCAGATTCAATGTTTAGATGTGTACAATAATTTGATTAAATGAAGGTAATGTTTCCTCTGCAGGATCAGTGTTACCGCTTACCTGGACATGACAAGTTCTGCTGTTGCCCAGCCCATGGCAGCCACCATGATCTTGTACTCTCCTTTACCAGCATTACGTGACATCACAAGATGGAGGCCCAACAGGTCTGCCAGGTCCACTGTTGCCTTCATAAATTCCTGGAGAACACAGGCATCCATATTTCAGCCTCCAACACAAGCTGCTATTTTATTTGACAGAAATGTTCATCTTCGTTCCTGATATTACTACGGTGCAGCTCAACACTCACCCCTACAAAGTCATAAACTCCAGCTCCTCCTTCCCATGTGGGGAAAAACGTAGCCAAGAACAGCATCTGTAGCACAGAAAGAAAACTTCCTTATACACACCGAAACACAAGGAAGATAGTGATGTTATAGTTTCTGTTTAATCTGCAATTGCCCTGGTCAATTTTCTCAATTTTATTCCATGTACTCACCTTACAGAGCTGGACAAACAGATAGGTTGCACCAGCCTGGACACATCTCCAGAAGGCATTGTACTCCGAACTAAAGGATGAACACACAGAGTTAAATGGTAGAACTGTAAAATTAGTAGGCACAGAACACACTATGTAACAGGTTATTATCAGATAAGACACTCCAGGCATAAATTTTGTATTTAGGGATGTAATTGTTTAAAGATATGAGTACAATAATAGTCAATTAAAAAGTACATGCTGTTAAGCAAAGCTCCTGCCAAATTCAAGACCATACCACACAGTTCTAAGAGGATTATGTAGAACCCCTCCCAAACATCTAAGAAGATTATTAACAGATCTTTTTAGTCTCTCAGCATATGTTGTTACAACACAGCGATAGACAAAAAAAAAAAGTGTTAATAATGACATAAAAATTTGCCATCATATTAATTTTCCATTGTTACAACACATGTCCATGGCCGGACTGATGGATGTCATACAGTATACAGTCACACATCATTCACCGCCCATGTTGCAGATCCCTGATTAAGAAGACACTTACAGGCCACTGCACTTGTATGTTATAAAGTAAGGAAAATATGCCAGAGCAAAGCAGTTCCCGAAGTGAAACAGTGTCATGATGATCACAAAATTCAGCTCCCTAGAGAGAGAGAGAGAGAGACAGAGAGAGAGAGAGAGATTTAATTTTTCAGGTTTTTAATACAGAGCCATTTAAGCAAAACAATGTCCCGAGGTATTGAAAGAAGCCCCTGACAAGTTCTCAGAGACCAACGGGACACATTCAAATGTCATCTTCTGTGGGACCAAACCCAAATGATATTCAATTGCGATGATACAAAACTGTGACAAGGTGGTCACATTTTGACATTAATCGATTATCAAACTTGTTGATTAATCAATTATTTCGCACTATTGTAACACATGAATGTATATTTTAATAAAATTCTTGATTTTGTTCATGTCCTCTGAACAGCAGCTGTACTTGATGATGTTACATTGACTCCTGCACATTTTACTGCTGAAGCTACACAGGTACAAACAGGCTAACAGGATGATTGACATTAGTCAGGAAATAACTAATCTGTCAGCATCGAGTCAAATTTTAACAAAGGTATGTTTCAATCGATATACAGAGCTATAAAACCTTGTAATATCATTAAGGAAATCTGTACACTTGCTAGCTACGCTACAATCCCGTCACCGGTGTAGACATGAAGCTACAGCTAACGTCCGCTCACAAGTCTCGAGGATAGTTTGTCCCTTTGGTGGTTAAACACAAAGCTATATTTCACTGAGTTAACATCGAAGCCGTATGAAAGCCGCTGTAAAACAGAGCTTGACACTTACCAATGTACGAACAAATGAGAGAAGTAGAAGAAGTAGAATCTTTTCCTACGGTCTCGTTGAATGACAAGCGGAAGTACGCTTGGGTCCACCCGAAAATGCCTCCGACAATTGCACCGGTAGGAACGTATCAAAGTGTTCCGCATCTTGCAGCACTGTTTGGAGCGCAGTCAAACCCATTTCGGAAGCTTTGGATGGGAAATCTTACAGCAGAACATGTAGGTTTAGATAACATACAATACAGTCCAACTCTTCCCAGCTTCAGGTATTTCTCCCGAGTTATTTGTGATGCCATGAGTAGATTTAAATAATACAACTTCGCTGGGCCGCGTATGGTCAATGTGCAAAACTGAGGTTTGAAGATGAAATTGAAAACTGTTGTGGAACCACTGTACACCACTGACAATCACGTCGTATGCATTCTGTGTAGTGTCACAAGGTGCTAAGCTAAACTGACAAGCTAGAGTGAGTGGGCCCAGAGCTAACAAAATAAGCACTGAGTGATGAACATTGCAATTGGATGAGTCTTGTAGAACTCAACTAAAGCTGTTTGTTAACTCAGCTGGGAAGAATATAAAAATGGGACCAAGTGTTTTAATTGCTCAGTGTTTTCTAAGGCTAGTTAATTACTACACATATTAAGTTATATTTTGTTGAGCATTTTTTCATTGTTTTTTTTATTTAAAAAATCGGAGACATGAAAATAATATATAAATGTTAGAATAGGGAAATTTAAGTCTAGGTAAGGAATGTGGTCATGATAAATACACTGTACACTAATTTCAGGTCTGAGATGATGCTCTGCTGTCCTCTAATGTCCCTTCTTTTGTCACACAAACTGAAGCAGCAAAATTATGTATTCTATTTGTCCAAATAACTTATGACATGTCAAGTATGACAAATTTGAATCCTTTGGCATGGCTGTATTTGGTTGTATAAATGGGTTTTTGCACAGAAACATGTGGCTCAAATAGGAATAGCTTCATAGACTGTATTACAATTGTCACAGTTGTCCCCATGATACTATACAGATATGTGTTAAGATACATGGTCAGTCAGTGTATCTGAGGGAGTCTGAGGGGTCTAATCGCAAACAAGGAATTTTGTCCCTACCCTTTCCTTTTTGTGAAACGTTGTTGTGTTAATGTATTTTTGAAAATGTGTTTTTTGTTTTGTTTTCAAATTTGTTGTATATCTATATTTGCTGCATATAGTATGAACTTGTTGTAACAGCATTTCAGTTACTATTTAGATTCACTACATGTTGAAATACAGTAATTCAATGTTGTTGAACAAGATTTTTGACTGTAATATTGACATCTGAAAATGTATGCTGTAGTTTTAACCTCAAGGCTTTTCCAACTGAAAATCACCAACATCATGAGGCTGGTACTGGGTCAGACTCTGATGTTACAATCATAGATCTATAGACAACAGTCTTATCTGTTTCATCTATATTTTCATCTTCTGATGCCTGCAGAACTTTGTCCCCATCAAGTTACAGCGGAATCTATCAAGCAGTAGGATTCCAGCTCTTTAGCATCCATCAAAATAATTTATGTCTGTGTTTATTAAGAAAACAGGAAGTTCATAGCTATTAAAAGGCTTTTAAAAATATGAATTTTCACATATTTTTGCAGGCTAAAGTCAACTACTTTCAGTTGGTTGTTAAACTGAAATGTGTCAAATGTCTGATGATAAACTCCGACAGGACACTGTGTGACAAACACTGTTGCAAAAACACAGACCAACACTGAACAACAGACAGTCCCTTATTATATGCATTTGTGAATATGCATTTATTGCATCATTTTGGTTGTTTTGATTTATGAAATACTCACAGCTTTACTACTCTATATAAATTTTCAGCAAATTTACAATAAAATTAAATAAACAATACATTAAGCAGTACAGTAGCTGACAGGCATCCAGGCAGAGCCAGTAATTATTTCATATTAATGATGAGAGTTTAAATGAAAAGCAGGATAGATTACAGTAGTCTTATGTCTATGATTGGTCCTGGTCACTTGAATTGCTACAGTAAAGATTATACAAGCACTAAAATGTGTGAAATCGGAAAACGGTTTTAATAAAGGAAAAAGAAAGTCAAATGACATCCCCAGTCCCTCCATGAGGTAATATTCTTTCTCACCCTTCAGGAAAATCAGCAGGAAATATGTATTTTTAATTATCTCATCTTATATTTTCAGAAATTATTATAACTACCCTGAAATCATCATTATAAAATATGAACAGCAAACTCCAAACCTGAACCCAAGGTAGAGAAAAATCAATCTGATAACTTACACACAAAACAGGTATTGTTTGTGGAGCACTAAAAAGCTTTTAAACCTAAACTTCACCAAGTTCATTCATTTATTCATCTTATATTTTATATTTGTAGCAGACAAAGTTTCTTCTTTCTGTGCAGTCCCTGGTGATCCAGTTGTTTGTGTCATATTTGGACAGGGTCCCACAGCGGTTCTGCTGTGACGGACACTCTGCCAGCATCCCCTGGTGGTCCAGCTTGACTCCATTCTTCCACCACCACTTCCCGCCCAGGAAGCGCAGCCCCAACCAAACCTGAGAAACAGAAGATAAGCGTTGCAGGTCACTCACTCTCACTTTCATTCACCTTATGCATGCTTAGTTGAGGAGGCTGCACGTTAACTAAGTATAGAACAATAAGGTTGGTATATCAGATGAAAGACTTTATGTTTAACACAGTGACAACAAACCAGAAGATGTCCAGTAAAAGATAAGGTGGGACAAGAGGAGAGCGAAGCAATCCATTTAATATGGACTCTTGCATTTATAATTCACTTAAATTAATTGGATTTCCACTAACATAATACATTACAAAACCCAAAGCAAAAAAAAAAGCTTATTAATTATATTTCCCTATTCTGTTTTTAAATTAGTGATTTAATTTCAAAAAAAAATTCTTATACTATTTAATTCCATTATTTCAGTCTAGCTCAGTCATTCGAGTCTATAGAGGAAGGGGTTAATCGTTACATTTATCTTGCACAAGGAGTTGCAAGATAAATGTAATTATTAAGATATGACGTTAGACAAAAATTGTGCTGTTTATTTTCCAGATTGTCTTCTAATGTTATTTTTTAATTGAGAAATACTGGAAAGTCTTATTTCTGCATTTCTTATTTCTCTAAAAACTGTTAAAATAAACTGAGAGAAGAGAACATCAGTCTTTGGTTGAACTCCATAGATATATGCAACATGTGACAAAGAATGGAGGGTAATACTGTATGGGACAAATCTTTTTAGTAACTTGATTCATTTCAAGAGTGTTGAGTAAAAAGGACCATTTCCTTTGCTTAATGTTTCACCCTGCTCCCGTCCCCACCTCATCCGTCGTGGCTCTGTAGATCCGGTCTCTGACATAGCTGTACTCATACAAGTATGGCAGGCTCAGGATGTCGTAGTGGTGTGTGCAGGAGGAGGTACATGCTTTCATGTTCCTGCAGTGCCGCAGGGCTTCTTCCCATGTCTTGTTCTCATTCACCACCACCAGGTTGTCAGAATAGCATATTAACCGAAGCTTTTCGGAGCACTTTTTGCTGTACCACTTTTCATTGACAGAATTAAATGAACCACAGTCTGCTGTGAGCGGCTCTCTTGGTGCCCAGTTCCTGTAGTCAGATGGCAAATCTCCGATCCAGTCCCAGTTGAGACCATCCTGTTGGTACAGTCCAATCCAGCCACTATGACTCAAACCTTTGCTTTTTTTGGTGATGGTTGCGAGGCTAGTGCCCATATCCTGACAAAACTGAGAAGCGTTGTACCAGCTTAAGGTAACTTCATGATAAATAATTTTTTCCTCTGCCAAACAGTATACATTATATTCACTTGAACACTGAACACTGTACCACATTTGATCATCTCCCACTACTGCACAGTGACCGCTGTGCTGCCCATCGGCCCACTTGGAGTTCCATGAGACGTCGTTTCCTGTAACCCCTACTCCAGTTCTGAAACAAACAAATAAATGATATCTTCCATAGCAACTGCATTTTACCTTGTTTACATTGCAAGATATTGAAATCAGCATAAAGATAATCTCAAATAGGATACTCACTTGATATTTATCCACCTCCAGGCTGAGCTCTCCTGAGGATCTCTATGTAGGCCGATCCAGATTTGGCTGATATTTTCAGAGACCATCCACCTAGACACTTGGACTTTGGACGCTACATTCCAAGTAATTAAGTCAATGGCGTGCTTCTGGCAGTACTGTCTCGCAGTTGTCCAGGTCATCTCCTTAGATGACAAGTATATGACCTTTTGTATGATTAATGCCTCCAAGCAAAGAGCAGTAATGAGCAGGAAGGACAGTGTGAGCTCAGGGCCGCTCTTGTTCCCCATGACTGGTCCTGTCTTCACGTCAAGTCAGTAATGTGTAATTGCAGGCCTTCTAGTAGCCAAGTCAGTTTGTGGTGCAGTGGTCAGTGGCTGTTGAGGAGCTGTCCCTCTGTTTTTATAGCAACTGCATACCTGGTCACTCCCACATAGACACACCTCACCATACCCCGCTGGTCAGTAGCACCTCTCCACACCTGCAGTTACAGTCCACATGGAGATGTGACTGAAAGTGCTATGGATGGTTTTTTTTCTCCTAAGAGAACATGTCCACGATTTCCAAAAAGTTCATATCTCTGTCCTTTTTCTTCCTTGATGCCTCTCCTCCTCAGACACCTCATTATCTCTTTGTGTTTGACTACTTTTCATTAGTTTTTCTGCTCTACCCTTAACTGAAATCCCTATTTTTCACTCATTAAAATTTTCATGCAAATAAGAGACCAGACATTACTCTACTTTGGAGAAGCATGCTATAATTATGCTGAAAACTCACATTTATAAGTGATCAGAAACACTCAAAAGGTGGAGTATTAAAAAATAAACACAACAAACCATAGTGTTGACTTGGCTTCAGTTTGCTTTTCATGTCAGCACATCTAATTAAAACAAATGAAAACAAAACAGACCCAAATCAAGTCATGTGTGGTGCAGAGGCTCTCCTCTTCTGCATCTGAAAGATTCAAATCTTTTACATTCAAAAACTGTTCAG